TTTATTCAATTCCCCAATAGTGCATGTGTTTGGACTGTGGGGGAAACCAAAGCACTCGGAGGAAACCCACACTAACAGGCGGAGAACATGCAAACTCCACACAGAAATGCCAACTGACCCAGCCGGGACTCGAACCAGCGACCTTCTTGCTGTGAGGCCACAGTGCTATTTTGTGGTTATAAACAAACATGATAATTTTCATTATATATAGTTCATAGTTTCCGCTACATTCATTCTTCCATGGCGGGGCGCCATGCTAAAATTCATCCCGCCATGGCTACATTACAGCTTCTCATTCAAAACTTTTTATTTTTTTAATAGCAGGTGATAATCGCACCAAAACATATTAAAGGGTAACTCAATTATAACAGCGCGAACCTCTCTGTAACCGTAGTAGTGCTGTGCGTCATTTGTTTAACCCTTTTAGGTTAAGTGCTGACTGACTGTCTGGCTGACAGACAGGTGCGTGATGCGTGAGGCCAGCAAACACGAAGTATAGCCGTTTCACTTTACTTCAGGACGCAATAATACCGATCTGTAGGTTTATTAGAGAGACATGCATAAATATTCCTAACAAATCTAATAAATGTTGGAGACATACTCGTTACATAAACGCACTAAATCACACTTCAGCAGCATTTATTTGAGCGGCTTATATTTGAGGGGGCGTGCAAAAAGTTTTGTGCACACGCAGAGGAAATCAGCGCGCAAGCAAAGAGATCCGCATGCTGTTGGCTATTACATTAAAGCTATCTCGACTTCTAATACTGCGCTGACGACATTTGTCATTGAAATGACGCCACAGGAAGATCTGTGTAAAAAAAAAAAAGGCCTGCCACCACAGCTGGAAAAATCCTAGAGGAAACACTGTAGTGCATATAATTAACTAAATTTTGACATTGATCATTGTGGCAAAGGGGCGTGGCAGAGAGCCGTGGGAACGGAGTGAGGCCACCGCGTAAGTGAATACACCTGCGGTGCGCACCTGCCTCGGATCCCACGGAAGGAGCTCTGGACAATAAAAGGAGGAACGATGGCAGAGGAAGCTGAGAGAGGACCGGGCCCGGACATATTTTCCTTTTGTTTTCAGCTTGTTGGCAGTCTCCGTGAGGAGCTGCCGTACGTTTGTTTTGGTTTAGACGGCAGTCTCCGTGAGGAGCTGCTGTTCATATTATAAATAAATATTTTAAACTACGTCGGTTCTCCGCCTCCTTTTTCCCGGCGGCCAAATGGCCGTAAACTTTATTACAATCATAACTTATACAAAAACCTTTCTATAAATGGAAATGAAATCCAAAATAACTGAACTCCTTACCTTCAGGCACACAGTGAACACCGCTGCCGTAGTATCCAGGTTTACATACGCAGCAACGTCCACTGCATTCAGCAAACTTGGAGCATTTTTGTCCACCACACTGCCCAGAGTTGTATGTAAATACTGTTAAAACAAGAACAACAGTCATTTTGGCTCAAGAAAATCAGAGTTAAAGGGACAGATCACCCAAAAAAAAATTTATTTCATGTTAGACACAATAAAGAAGATTTTTTTCATTTAAACATCCAAACAACACAAAAACAATGTAATATATATTTGCTGACTTGTGTATTTCCATTATCCTAAATCAGGGATGTGCAAACTCTGTTCTTGAGGGCCGGTGTCCTACTGAGTTTAGCTCCAACTTGCTTCAACACACCTGCCAGAAAGATTCTAGTATGTCTAGTAAGAGCTTGATCTGCTGCTTTAGGTGTGTTTGATTAGGGTTGGAGCTAATCTCTCTAGGACACTGACCTTCCAAGACTGAGTTTGGACACCCCTGTCTTTAATGTTTGGAGGGCTGGGTATTGAGATCGATACTTTTGGGGCACACAATACTAACTAGTCTCAATACTCTTGATACTACAGAGTATGTAAAATGTCTTGTTAATCGATACAGTGTTTCAATACCTATATAACTGAACTGAAGTAAATAAACTGATGCTGGCACACTAGATTAATTAATTCCATTTTAACTTATTTGTGCCGAGTTATTTGTTTGGTTACATTTTGTTTGTTTATGCTTTTATGAGTTTGACTCATAGACTTTAAAAGATATGGACGTAGCACCTGTGACGTCACCCATAGGTTTCTGAAGAGCGCAAATGAAGCTACAAGTAGGCAAGGCCATTTTGTTCGTGCGTCATCACACCGACCTTGGGGTTACCAAAAACGGGCAAAGAGGCAGGGCATGAGAGGCTACAGCAGGGATGTCAAACTTAATTCAGTTTAGGTCCAACCCTAAACACACCTGATCAAACTAATTGAGTCCTTCAGGCTTGTTTGAAACCTACAGGTAAAGCTGCAGTCACACTGTGCTTTTCCTCCTATAGACTTCCATTCATACGCAAGCGAATGCGTCAGACCGGAAACGCAGAGTCATGCGTCAAGTTTCGCAGGTTGCTGCGGTGCAAAGTTCAAGCTTAGTGAAGTCTGACCTGCGAAATCGCGTCACTAGACTGCGTGAGACCAATCAAGGATTAAAACCAGACCTCTCAGGACAGAAATTTAAAACAAGGAGCAATCGCTCGCTTTTTTAAATGTCTAAAAAGCTTGTTTAATCCCGCTCCTTTTCGCAGCGCCACACGACAAAATGACGCATGCTCAAACTCTAATGTGACCGCAGCTTAAGTGGGTTGGAGCAGGGTTGGAATTAAACTGTGCAGGGCTGCGGCCCTCCAGGAATTGAGTTTGACATCCGTGGGCTACAGGCTACAGATGTCTGCTAGCATTTTGATTAGACAAGCTTTTCTTTTGGAGAAATGCCTAATACTTCATTACCTGCAACTTGTTTGTGTTCTGACCACGTGCTTGGTTGTACATTATTATCAATAAAGTGTTTAGACTTTTAAAAACACTGTTGTAACAGATTGAGCCACTAAACATTGTTTTTACGACATTTTTCTTCAGGAGGAAAACATTAAGAACTTCCAAATATTTTAATGTAGTCTGTGTTAGTAAATGCAAGGCTATTTATGAAATACGGGCATAACACTATGACAAAGTTTGAGATAACTGTGTAAAGTCACATGAAACAAAACGAAAATGCGATGTATATGCTGAGTTCAGCGTCTAATCAGCCGGAATCACCTGAAGTGACGAGACGGCGACCAGCGAGACCTAGCTGTCACTCAAGTGGCCACGCCCTTAATTATGCAGACTTTTTATCAGCTGTAAATTTGGCCAATTTAGCATAGCTATCAGTGAACACCTGGACTTCCTGGAGCCAGCCCCTAAAGGCAAGTCGATGAATTGCAGTTTCAGTTACTTCCGTATTGGCTTCACAAGGTAGAGAGGGAACTTGCCAGTAGGTTTGACTCCATTAAAGAAAAAAGAAAAACTGGAAAAAATTAGATGTATAATGTAATCTTGTTAAACTAATATTATGAACTTGGCTTCGGAAAAAGTATCGAATTGAACCGGTATCGAATTGAAAGTACAGTATCAGTACCAGTATCGAAGATTTTAGTAATACCCAGCCCTAATTACATAAAATAATGTTCTTTTTCTAGCACAGACCAATCATTTCGCCTCACACAACATCAATAACTATGTTTTCACCCACCAATTTTTATGCACATTTTGGAATATTGCATAAAAAAATGTTTAAATAAAAACATATACAAGATGCGTTTACATTTTGAAAAATGAGCTTTTGAGAAGGATAAACTTTTTATTCTATAAGAAAAATGCATGTAAACCGCAAAAGAAACAGATTTAATGAATAAATTCCAGCATGCGCATCAGTGTGTGTGACGTGATTTAGTTTAAGAAGTGATGATGATCAGATAAAAATGTGGGTGATGGTACACAATAATGTACTTTACAAAATTTCCAGCAAATTCTGAAATGCTGTTTGCTAATTGTAAAAGCCCTCAATCGTTAGTCCATCATCACAGGGTTTCAGTATTCTTATTATTCTTTTATTATTCCCTTCAAACTGTTTTGAGCATCTGTCTGCGCTCCCAAAAAGTGTCTCAAAAGCAACTGCATTGGGTTCATTGCGTTTCGTCTTCTGAGGCGCAATTTATTTATTAGGGAAGAAAGAAGACCACGGTGACTTTTCCTACTGCACAACATTTAGTTTTTCTTTCTGATTTTTGCTCCAGTTTACCTGGCTGTGATGATTGTGTTCTCTTTGTCTCATTGGATGGAAGTGCTGCTTTATTCGCAAGTGTTTTCATGCAATATTCCAGTTTTGCCCATAAATTTAATTTGCATGCTTAGATAGAAACATACCTAGTGTGTCGCCAGGAGCCATTTATTGATTTGGACTATTTTTAATCTTAATGATTATTGATTTGCATTATATGAATCACCTCAAACAAGGCTAAAAAATCTGCTAAAAAAATCTGCTAAAATCTTCTTTAATGTTCCACTGAAGAGAAAAATTCATCTATATCTATAATAGCTTGAGGGAAAGTAAATTTACCGTAAATTTACATGTTTGGGTGAATTATCCCCTTAATGATATCAGTAAATAAAGCATTCACTCTGACCGTCGACCTGAATGTTGTCATCATTTTCGATCTCCACCACCTGCGGGTCTTGAGGTGTGAACTGAACCGTGTGCACCTGGATGGGCGGAGGGTGTTCCGGATGATGGTAAACCCCATCCAGGTTCTCCTGCTGGACGTCAGGATACACTTGCTGTTGCTGGTTTTGGGTTTCTGATCTCCTGAGTGAATCCAAAGGCAAGTCTGGCACTTCTCCAGGCGCGATGTTTGTGAAGTGAGGGAACGTCCCGATTTCATACACCCACACGCCGCGCTTTCCGGAGTTCGTCTGCCTGGAAAACACATTCAAAAGCATTCATGGAAAAAACATGGCCAAAGTACATTGACACTGTAGGAATAGTGTATGTGGGAGATTCTAGACTTGATTGTTCGGCTTATTGAAAAACTAAGAATGAAGATAATTATAAAAATAATAATTAATTTATTGATACAAATCATATTTATCTAATTCTAACTTTTTAATTATTATTATGATCATTATGATATTTTAAGTGGTGTTAGGCAACTATAATTGTAGTCTGATTTAAGTCAATTATTAAATACATTTGAATAAAATTTGTATTAAAATTAGGCATGCTCCTATTAGGATTTTTGCAGCCAATACTGAGTACTGGTTCCTTGTCATAGTGATCAGCCGATACTGAGTACTGATTTAAATGCTTTAAGTTTAATGATGCATTAAGCACATTTTCCCTCTAAGTATGATACTCAAATGGAGATCTCGCCTTACCTAAATGAATTAGTTTGGTTTTTAAATGGTTTTACCATTTAGGTGTAAACATATCATGGCTAGAAGCAGGGTAAATAAAATGTTTGCACCTGCAACAAAGAGTGCAACACTAGCAAGTCGCGCCAATAGACTGTACACTGCAAAAAAAATGCTTTTCTTATTTAGACTTTTTGTCTTGTTTCTAGTCCAAATATCTACAAATTCTTAAATCAAGAAGCATTTTCTAGACAAGCAAAACATATTGTCTTGCAATCTGCCAATGTGGTAAGCAAAATAGTCTTGTTTTTCGATTTGTGATAAGATTATTTTGCTTACCCCATTGGCAGATTATTTTGCTTGATTTAAGCAAACGATCATCTCATTTTGGTGTATTATTTTTTAAAACAAGACAATATGTTTTGCTTGTCTGGAAAATGCTTCCTAATTTAAGAACTTTTATACATTTGGACTAGAAACAAGACAAAAAATCTAAGTAAGAAAAGCATTTTTTGCTGTGTATAAACAGAGGTCACACCTCATCTGTATATATTTTAGCTCTTGTGATGCGAGTGAATCGATCGTTTACGCCAAACATCATTTATCTTTTTACGTGTTGTGACTCCTGTACGCTATGCATTATATAAGGGAATGCACAGAGGTATAAACAGAGGTCACCCCACATCAGTATATATTTTAGCTGTTGTGATGCGAGTGACTTTATCGTTCACACCTCCACATCATTTACCTCCTCACATGTTGTGGCTCCTGTACACCTTGTATAATATACGGGAGTGCATGTGCGTCTTCCTTTGCTTGCTAACTCATAAACAAACACCAGTGATCGGTTTATGAGATCGGCCAGATTGGCGAGTACCGATCAAGTCATTTAATGTGATTATCGGCCGATACCGATCTTCAGCCGATCATTCGGAGGATCCCTAATTAAACACATTGCAGGAAATAGTGAATGTGGGGGATTCTAGAATTGCAGGTACATTTTGCATCTCTAAGATAAACATTAAAAGTTATCTGTAAAAATAATATTTGTATTGTATGTGTATTTTGGGTGGACTAATATTATTTTTAGTAATATATAACCTCAAGGAACATATTAAAATAACCTGAAAAAAATCAATGTCATGGCCCACTAGGGCTGTGCAATTAATCGATAATCCGATTTCGATTATGGCTTCCAACGATTATGAAAAACCATTAATCGAGATAAACGATTATTCCATTATTCACCGCCCCCTGTCCAGTTGTCCTCACATGTTGCTCTTAAAAGCGTGAAAGACCGCATGCTTATGTGCGTGTGGCGCGCAGACAGTCAGAAGCATGCGGCCTGCACTTGGTCTCATTCGCACACTGTGACGAGCAGAGAGCACATACATCTAAAGTCATTAACGTGAGCGCTTTAATGTTCAAATAGGTGTCAAAACGCGTTTAGTGATTATTTATATTAACCCTCATTTTGTAATAAACAAACGAGTTGAGAATCAAAAGACACGTGAAAGCGAAACCATTAAAGTGACAGAGCACAGCTGCCGCCTGTTTTATCATGATTAATAAAACAACGAGAAAATCCCTCTCTGCTCTTGACTGAAGACTTTTGTAGCTGAAGTGTTTTTCTTACGGTGAAGATGCTAAAAGCAAAGTTTGTTTCATATTTTTATTCTACTGTATTTATTTTTCTTTCCCTTGCAGGGAGGAAAATAATATATGCAGTTGAAGTCTGAATTATTAGCCCTCCTGAATATTAGCAACCTTTTTTCCCCAATTTCTGTTTAATGGAAAGAAGATTTCTTAACATAATAGTTTTAACCATTCATTTCTAATAACCGATTAATTTTATCTTTGCTATGATGACAGTATATAATATTTTAGTAGATATTTTTTTTAAATACAAACATTCAAATTCAAAGTGTGATTCAAAGGCTTAATTAGGGTAATTAGGCAAGTCATTGTATAACAGTAGTTTCTTCCGCAGACAATTAAAAATATATATTGCCTAAAGGGGCTAATAATATTGACCTTAAAAGAGGTCTCAAAATATTTAAATTTGCTTTTATTCTAGCCAAAACAAAACAAATAAGCATTTCTCCAGAAGAAAAATATTAGAGGAAATACTGTTAAAATTTCTTGCTCTGTTAAACATCATTTGGGAAATATTTATTTTTAAAAAATTCTCAGGAGTGCTAATAATTTTGACTAATAATCTAAATATATTATTAATAAAACTAATAATCGTGATTACAATTATGACCAAAATAATCGTGATTATAATTTTTCCCAAAATCAAGCAGCCCTATGGCCCACTGAAAACTTCTTAATTTTAAACTGAACTTACTCAGGCAAGTCCTTGACAGACGCCTCTGTGTCCTCTGTGTTGCGATAGTACAGTTCTTGTGTTTTGCTGAAGCCGGCGTGCACTGTGTATCCACTCCCGGTGCTCTGGAACTGGATTGAGTCTCTTGGGTAGAGAAGAATTGCGTAGGACGATGTCTCCACTGAAGCGATGACCAGCTGAAATGTGTTCCTCTAAGTAAAAACAAAAACATGACCGATAACGTTTGCATTTTTGTGCAATCAACTGCATTCATGGTTGTTCACATATTCAGTAGTATGAAAAATTAAATGTCAAACTAAAAAAATAGTACACCCAAATTAATATATTATTACAGTTTTTTACAATGGCTATGACACTTTTTTCAATACATTTAACAAGTTTGCTAAACTCTTAACGCAGTAACACACCTAAAATACACAATTGGCAAAACAGTTAATTTTATGCTCAAAATCACACATTGTAAACTAAACCTCTAAACTACTTTTCAAAATACAATAATAAACGAACACACTACACCATGTCTAACAAAACACTGCAATCATGTTTCAAAATGAAATTATTGTTCAAAACACAAACACATGTTCTCTTCCAACATAAACATTCAGTCAGTCATAACACACTGACAATAAAAACACTATCATCAGCTGACATTACAGAAACTGCATTAGTTTATGTGTCAGCTCTGCCCTTATATTTGAAGTCTCGTTACAGTTTTGTTTCGTTGGGTTAAGTAAATGCATGCATTTTCTTTCGTTTACGGCAAAAATTCTATACAAAACAAAGAAAAAAATTGCTTTATAAAATTTACAGTTTATGTAAAAAAAAATACAGACACAGAATTTCTGCAGTACAGACTTTTTTTGCAGAAGGACATCACTGCAAACAGGAAAAGCACCACAATTATAATAAAATAACAAAGTAATCTTCTATACTGCCCGGTCTTTTACCACATGTTCTCATCCACATTATACTTGATATCTTCTGTGGCCCGGCACGGTAACTATGGCCCTTTGGCCTATTATGTTTTTCCTATGGCGACATCCCCAGCCTTGTCAACATTGAAAATTTCATGTGGTACTTGATTGGCCTCTAACTTCATGACTCTCTGAAAGTAATTAGACACAGTGTATGCAAATGCTGTACTGTATATGTACTGTATGTACTAATGAACTCCAGGTTTAAAGAGTAGTTTACTGCAAAACACACTGTGTATAATACAGTAATGACTGTATTGCATAATCTTACATGGACGTATTGGTGACAGAGTTCTTTGATGTTCCTTCCAAAAACCTCAAGAGTCCTCTATTAGAACATATGATCATGTGATTGGAAAAACCAAAACAAGACATGAGTGTGCTTTCTAGATGGGAATCAGCTGTCATATATATATATATATATATATATATATATATATATATATATTTTTTTTTTTTTTTTCAGTTTCCAATGAGAAACAGCATATTGCGGTTATATAAATAAATAAAGAAATATATATATATATATATATATATATATATATATATATATATATATATACATTTATTTATTTATTTATGTAACCGCAATATGCTGTTTCTCATTGGCAATTGAATAAAATACAGGGAATATATTTGTGTTTCAATTCACAATTAGAACAGCTGTTCACTTTGACTTTATCCTATATAATTTCTGTTTAGAACATGGTGTTATCTGTTCTGACATACTGTGTTAAAGCATTTGTAAATTTGACTGTAAAATTACATTGTTTTGTTCTTGGTTGTGTTTGTGTGTAAAAGAAGTTAAAGCATTTTAAATTTGTGTTAACTGGATGCATTTTGTGTCAAAACAACAAGAAATGTGTTAATTGTATAGCCCACGAAGACGGAGCTTGTGCTAATTGTGTTAAGAGTTTAGGAAACTTGTTAAATGTATTGATAAAAGTGTCATAGCAATTGTAAAAAACTGTAATATATTAAAGGCAATAAGTCCGAAACTTCCCAAAATTCTCCTTCTATTCTCAAATGGGATGGTGGGCCAAATCAAAGGTTACCCTTACTTGTTACCCAGGCCCTAGTTTGGGCATCTCTGTTATATGCAGAAGAAGCTTTAACTTTCAGTAACTCTGTTCAAGCAATTCCGGTGAACTTTACGCCATCCAAAATTGACGCATTCACGGTTTGTTTTCATTTAAAAATCAACAATCTTCACAGCCTGATTGATCTGGATTAAACTCCATAACACACAGGTGTCAAACTAAGTTCCAAAAGGGCCGCAGCTCTGCACAGTTTAGTTCCAACCCTAATTAAACACACCTGATCAAACTGATTGAGTCTTTCAGGCTTGTTTGAAACCTACAGGTAATGCCGAGTTCAGACTGCATGATTTTCAAAGTAGTCGTGTCACAGATGTTTTCACAATGCTTGACTATCTGGGCTAGCGTTTCATCGCTGATTTGTTTACACTGCAAGATGGATCGGCGACAGGGACTTTCACATTGCATGACTTTACTATAGGAAGAATCGCCGACAACTTTGTCCAAACTACGTCTCACAGCCAAAAACACGTCGTATATCTTTTGTTATTAACTACATAATGAGAGAGAAGCCTTTAATGGGGTAGAACATGTACATGTTTGCTCACCTGGGTTTAAAGGGAATTAGCCATTTCTCCTCAACGTTTATAATAAACTAATTTCTTTCTGTATGAAACGTCAAACAGACACAGTTGCTTCTGAGTCCTGTCAAACCTCCACTAGTTTTTCCTCCATTTCGTGGGTCCAAATAAACCGAAAAAGAGCGCTTTTAACTTCTCCCCCAGCCTCCCGCTGGCCTGCAGCAAGTATATACACACGCACACACACACAAGTGAAAGCTGCTCTCTCATTGGCTGTAGGCGATCGCTGATGTTATTTTCAGTCAAAACCCAATTCACACGGCATGATTTGAATCGCCGACAGCTCCAGATATTCAGCACGCCAAATATCTCACAGGAATCGGCGACTCATCGGCGATTCTCTCAGATCGCGTCTTTGATCGTTCATACTGTGTGATTGTTACTCACGTGCACGAGCAGCGATTTGCCTGTGATTTCAGGCATTTGTCGGCGATTTCTCAAAACCTGTCGGCGAGCCAAAATCAGGGCTAAAATCACGCAGTCTGAACTAGGCATAAATGTGTTGGAGCAGGGTTGCAACTAAACTGTGCAGGGCTTCAGCCCTCCAGGAATTGAGTTTGACACCCCTGCCATAGCACAATGTCTTTAAAATATGAACATTTATTTTACCACAGCATTTTCAGAGTTCCTGCAGTAGCCTGCTGCTCATGATGGTGCTCGTGTTTAAACGGCTTTTCATCTTATTTGACACTTCAATAACTAAATAAATGCTTAAGTGTGTTTAACCGGTTATATTGTAATTACATTACAACATTGTTGCTGTTAAAGAAAAAAAAACACACTAGCTGTGCATATACCCCATTGACTAAACTACTAAATGTAAATCTTACTCTTATGCTGTGCTCCAGACCGTCTCCTCTGCTCTCTGCCTTGTGAGAAGCCACATCGAGCCACGTAACCACTAGAGCATGGATGGGGTTCACCAGGTCGTCCTCAGGAAAAGCTCTATTAATGTGATCGGCCGCCTGCTGCAGAAGAGCCGTACTAAAGTCCTGCCGGAAAAACACCTTTCCTACACCGTCACTCGTGTCCAGGTCGCCTTGAAGAGCTGCGATCATTTTAAAACTGGCCGGCATGTTTTCCAGATACTCCGATTCTCCTGTCGGCTTCTCCAGAGCAACAAAGCCATTGGTGTTGATCTAAGTGTGAAATAAAGAAGAACTAAGGGTCATTCACACATGCATCTCTGTGTCTAAAAAGTCAGTGTTTACAGTCAGTTACAGTGTTTAAAAAAACAAACTCCTCTGCTATGTTAATGACAAATAAATCAGTCACGCCAACTTGCTATGGTAAACAGAAACAGAACGCTGAGCTCTTCTGATAGGCCCACTGCTTTGGAACTGACATTGATGAGTGGTGCTGAGTGTATAAGTTCTATATATATATATATATGAGCAATTCCATGAAAATGTCAACCTTGCCATTAAAATAAAAATTTTCATTAAAGTAGCAAAACCGTTTCTACATTTTTTGCGCAGACAAGTGTTTTACAGTGCAGGGCTCAACAATAAGGACTGCCCGATGGCCCGGGGCCAGCGTGTGAGATGCTCGGGACAGTAGACAGGATCGTTACTGGCCCGATCGGGCCACTGATGCCCTGTCACTAAAGTTTAATTTGCCTGGGACTATTTGTCAATTGAGTGAAAAAACAGTCAGAATAGAGAAACCGTTTGCGTTTTTTTAAGTCTTCAAATGCTACCTTCTCAGTTCCTCTTATCTGATTGGATATTGTGAGCATGTTATTTTTTTCGTAACAACCAGTACAGCGAAGAGACAGCAACATGGCGGCATCATCAAGTGATGATGCTAAAGGAAAATATTTATTTTTAACATCTTGGAAGCAAACGTTTATGAGGGTACGCCACGACTAAAAAAATTAAGTGATGTTTTGTACAGTTTGCCGTCAGTTTGGCAGGTCAGCCATCTTTTGTTTTGCAATAAAATACCTGCACATTTTGCTACTTTTGTTTGCAAAACACTTTGAATTTTGCTCATTAAACATTTATTAACGTTTTTTAAATAATTAAATTCTAGATTTACAAACATTTTGACACATTTCTTTTTTAAATTTGTGGCTAAGAAATAAGTATTGACTTTTTTTTTGGTAGGGCCAGTGAAAATATTGGAAGGGCAAGTAAAAATCTCAACCACTGGTCCGATCGGGCCAGTTGAAAAAATCCTTAGCGTTGAACCCTGGAGTACTTTAAAAATACTTTAAAATGTCTCTGTCAATGTTTTCAAACTATTATATTTGATTTACCAAAGTCAAACAAATGGCAATTTCACATCCGTCACATCCATAACGAAAAAGTGTCACATCCATAACAAATCTTTTCCCTCAAAAATGCAAAAATGTCAAAATAAAATAAAATCAATCCGTTTTGTTCTATAAAGAGCAAACTCTTATCCTTTTGTTCAGCATTATTTATTTTGGGTTGTGCAGTTTAATTCACAGAATATCTACGAAATATGTTGTATACTGTAAACTCGCAGACTTTTTTTGTCACATCCATAACGCTTGTTTTTTTTCCTCATTTAAAGTATAAAAATGTTCACAGATTGAATTTTTTTGATCCCATAACTCTGTGGTTAGTTGTTTTGGAAAATATAAACAGATGGTTCAATATAATGTCAACGTATACTTTCTCTGCAAATTTATGTTTTGAATTTCAAATGTCACATCCATAACGCTGGAATCAGCCATATATATATATATATATATATATATATATATATATATATAATTACTGCATATATATATATATATATATATATATATATATATATATATATATATATATATATATATATATATATATATACACATACTGCATATACTGTCCCTCTACGCTATGCTTTGATTAATGTTTCTCATGCAAATGATGAAAAATTATTACTGTACTTAAACTTTGTATTCTGAGACCACAAAATAAATATGATAGACCATAGTATAAAACAACCCAGTACTGGGAAACACCCATAAACACTCATTTACATGCACACACAAATTCATAAACCCACGCCAGCGCAGATAGAACATGCAAACTCCACACAGAAAATACAACTAGCCCAGCCGGGACTTGAACTGTCTTGCTGTGACGCCACAGTGCTAACCACTGAGCCACCGTGCCGCCACATCCAAACATATAACTGCTAAAGAAAAACACTATATTTTCTGACAAAAAAGCCTACATAATAAAACAAGTACAGTTTGTAGTGAGGAATGAATGAGTAAATGTTTAGCCCATGTGTATTTTAATGGGTTGTACTGTTCAACACCTCACTAAAACAGATGTGCTGCCTTAACTGCATTTCCAGATGTTGTCAGAAGGCTACAACACATGCACTTTGTATTCAGCAGGAGATCCTATAAATCTTGATGAAGAAAGGTTTGTTCACATGATTAATTTAAAGGGACAGTACACTAAAATATATTCATCTACTTATCATTTGCTCACTCTGAAGAGCACTCAAAAAAGGTTTTGCTACTTATTTAAACTACTTATGTAAAATAAGCTTAAACGACAAAATTCTTGAGATTTATTTTGGGACAACTTAATTGTTTTAGGTTCAATCCACTTAAGTTTGTTAAGTTAACTTAATCGATTTGTGCTGGCACAACATTAATTGTGTGGAACCTTGCATTAATAACAGTGTGGTTTAAATAATTATGAGTTTTTAATTTTTTCTATTGAACACAAAAGAAGATATTTTGAAGAATGTTGTAAACTGGTAGTCATTAGATATCATAGTAGGGGGGAACACTAGTATTGCCAATGGCTACCAGTTTACAACATTCTTCAAACTATCTTCTTTTGTGTTTAATTGAAGAAAAAAAACTTCATTACAGAATATTCATTTTTGGATGACCTGTCCATTTTAAAGTAAGCTTAAACTATCTGCACTTTTGCAAACTACATTTCAACCAACAAAACATTATGTTTCGCAAAGAGGCGGCCGTGTATTGGCCAAAAAATACAAAAAATAAAAAGTTCAAGACCTTAAAAAACACAACAGCCTGGAAAGAAAAAGAAAATACTTGTCCTGGAAATGGAAACTGGCAAAGCAGACCTGTGGGAAAGGAAGCGTTCAAGGAATTGTAATTATAAATGTTTTTGTGAGACAAGTCCTCTGAGAAAATTGTACACGCAGATATACAAGTCAGCCAACATTTTAAAACTTTTAAAATGCTCCAGATTCTGACTCACTCAATCAATACACAGTTATGCAGGAATATATCTGGAGTATTTCACTACAGTCTGTCAACATCAACCAAAAGACAAAAATTCATTATTATTATTACCACAATTAGGGCTGAAACTTACAATGTAATTTTTCAATTTAATCAATTACAAAAAATAATTGAAAAACTTATGTAAATCGACGCTTCATTAAAAAAAAAGCACATTACTTTCTGTCTGTATGAGATTTATTTGATTTGCTCATTATATTTATTTTATGCAGCTTGTTTTTATTTTATCCTGTAACTATATTATTAGTTAATGCAGTTTCTAATGAAATTAAAATTCTATCGTTCCTTATACATCTTCCATATAAATCCCCACAGTGTTAGATTAATCGATTATTATAATAACTGATAGCCCTACTATTAATATTATCACTTGACTTACCTGTGTACCCACTTTAAATTCCACACATCTACACATTTATTATATGATCTCATTGCATTTTTTGGTCACACTTTATTTTGATGGTTCGTTTGTTGAATTAAGTTACCTTGGATCTACATGCTAACTAATTCTCATTAGATTATAAGTAGAAAATAGGTTGGGGTTAAGGTTAGTGTAAGCTGAAATGTACTTGCATAGTTTTTTATAGTCAATTAATTGCCCAGTATCAACAGATATTAAGCAGACAGTCTACTAATACTTAAAATAAAGTGTAACACATACAACAATAAAGTGTGACCAAATAAAGTGTTACCCATGTTTTCCTCTCTCTGTATTTTCCTTCATTTAAGTTTTGTGTGATCCTTATCCCTCTCCCTCTTTCTTTTTTCCTGTACGTGCATTTGTTATTTTTACTGGTTGTAGTTCATGTTTTGCAGTAATCTATGCGCTTTTATGTTTTTAATTTTGCACGAAAAAAGATTTTGTGATCAAAATGTATACACTAAACTTGTTGTTGATTCAAAACAATCAATTTGTCACTAAATTCTTAATGAAAATATCAAGTCCTGTCTTATATTTATGCAATAAAACATACTTCTTCAGTTTTCACATAACTTGTCCCAATAAAATTACCATCTCTAACAGTCAGAGATAATTATTTGAGACAAAAAGCTTTTAAGTGTGGTTTATTCATAAACTAATTTCGAGAGGATCACGTGCTTATAATCAACACGGCTGGCTCCTTGTTAGCTCCGTAATCAGCCCTATTAAATGATTACGGAAGCATTATAAATACCCTGAGTTTTCCACTCCAGTTATCTTCGTCTTGAAGCTCCCCCCCTTCCACCCCTACATCCTCCCACTTTTTCTGATCGGGCGACACGGTGGCCCAGTGGCTAGCACTGTTGCCTCACAGCAAGAACACCGCTAGTCCAACCCATCGGGCTGGTTGGTGTTTCTGTGTGGAGTTTGCATGTTCTCCCCGTGTTCGCGTGGGTTTTCCCCGGGTTCCCCGGTTTCCTCCCACCGTCCAAAAACATAAACCATAGCAATCGACTAAAACAAATTATCACCCAATACAACCTGAGTTTACACTTCTCACGGTGACAAGCAGGGGAGTTCTCGAGACCTACCTGACCTCGAATTCCCCTCTCGCCCTTCTAACGGGAGGGAGCCCCGGGCTCGAGGATATTACGAGCTCAGGGCTCTCTCCCGGGACAGCATGCCAAATACGCTTTATTGATTATCAGCTAAGTGTGAACTCTTGAAATTGATTTAAAACGTAAACAAAAATCTGTGATGAAAAGTCACAAGGAAACAAGACTATGTTGAGTTTAATTTAAAGCATTGTTTGATATTTGTAATGGAAAATAACACAACTAAAATATTTGTGCAGTGCTCAAAACAACAAAGGGATTATTTACAAAAAATTAACATTTGCATAAAACACAGCAAATGCTATGATTTAGTCATGCTGCTATCTAACATGCTCATGGTGTGTAGACTGGCTAATAAACACCCACTCTGATCGAGGCAAACCTAAAAAAACACAACGCTGTTTGAAAACCTCTTGAAATGACCTGCGAGTCAATTAGCACTGGACCACAGCATTTTTTTTTTTAAAGAGCGGCATAATGAGCGGTTTGTCTGAGCAGCTGCCAAATGTACTGTTGTAGTTAATGAACTGTTTTAAGTGAATCAGATGGGCAGGAAAACACAGTAACAACAAACAGCAAAGCAACTGCAGCATGAACATTTCTCCTTTATAATTTCTGTTTCTTTTAGAAATGCCCTCAATGAACTTCAGCCACTGACAGAGACTTATTTGGTTATAAAAATATTGCCACTGAGCAGGTGTTGTGAGAATTTCAGCTGTGCATTTTAAGTCACCGGCTAGACAAGACGTCCCATTTTGGTATCTTCATTAAGTTATTTGTATACAATAGCAAGTAAATAAAAAGCATAGCATCTACTTTAATGTTTCAATCACTTTAATAAAAATTAAATAGTTAATTACATTAACTACAAAAATAAACCAAAATACTTTTTCGGACATGCACCTTCTAGTAAACAATAGTAAAAACGGGCATCACGGTGGCACAGTGAGTAGCACAATCGCCTCACAGCAAGAAGGTCGCTGGTTTGACCCCTAGCTGGGTCAGTTGGCATTTTTGTGTGGAGTTTGAAAGTTCCCCCTGTGTCGGTGTGGGTTTCCTCCGGGTGCCCCGGTTTCTTCCACAGTCCAAAGACATATGGTATAGGTAAATTAAATAAGCTAAATTGGCCGTAGTGTATGCGTGTGAATGCAAGAGTGTATGGGTTTTTCCCAGTGTTAGGTTGCGACTGAAAGGAGAGGGGTCTGGCTGCAGAGCAATCTGAGCTGCATCCAATGCTTTTTAATGGACTCACCTAACCCCACCCCTAACCCTACCCCTCCCAGTGACGTCACTAGCTCCATTGAGTGCACTAAGTCTGACATTGCATGACTGAGAAATGCAATCTCAGCTTGCATCATTAAGGCTGCATCCAGATATTATTGACTGGAAGGGCATCCGCTGTGGTGATTAATAAAGAGACTATGCCAAAAAGAATATAAATGAATGAATATGACAACTATTAAGTATTTTGTGGTTTAAATAACATTTGGTTAACATTCCTATAAGTCAGTGGTTCACAAAGAAGGGGTCTGGACCCCCTTTTATAAGATATAAAAATCTTAAATGTGTAATTAAACTGTGAGAATTAACATATTTTTTTATAACATACAGAAGATAAAAATAGTATTTAATAGTTACATAAAAAACAACATACAAATAAAGTGTCGGTTAATATTAAATTAAAAAATGAAAAAGAAATTGTATGGTTGTTAGACTGTTGCACTTTTTTGTGTTGTCAATATGCTCGTGTTTATATAGTTCCTTTCGGTGTGTGTGCTCGGTTGTGTGGAATGTTTGTAAGTTTATAACCACCTTCGATGATATCGGGGGTTGTGAGTCACTGGAATTGTTATTTTGGGGGTCACCGGATGAAAAGTTTTAGAATCCCTGATAAAAGTTACAAAAAGGTAATTTCTAAATATTGTTTAAACATTTATGTTCATGCCTTTCTTGGTTATGCTAAAACGGACAAAGACTTTAAGGGAATGTTTCAAGTTATTTTGAAAATATTATATGGACATTTTCCCCAGCAACCAACGATTTTAAAAATACTATTAAAATGTAAAATAACAGTTATTTAGATTAATGTTTTTGTCCTAATGTAAAAATATTAAAGAAAAAACAAGTTTGAACAAATATCCTGTTAGGATCACTGGAAAAGTGATTGTTCATAACTTTTTTTAGAGCTCCTTGCTGAAACATTCTAAGAATGTTAACCAGAAACACCAAACAAACATATAGGCAACTTCAATTAAACTACCCAGCTAACAATCAATTTTTTTTTTACAAAAAAAAAAAAAAAAAAACTCAATGCAATGTTCTGGAAAGGCTATTTTTTGATTACAGAGTTTATACAGGAATCAGATAATGAAATTTTAGACTCTTTCCATACATTTTACGACCTTATAACCACTTTCAAGCGGAAACACTAGCAAGATTTTACTTACAGTACTAAATATTAATGTAAAAAATTATTCCAAAACTAAAACATTATTCGCATATTGAATAAAAGTCTTTTAAACCTAGCTAATTAAGCACGTTGGCGCCTAAAGAACTGCAGAAATAATGGTGTTGCCTTGATTAATGCAGTAAAGAAGGCAACATGATGTCAAATCTAGCAGGATTTCATAAATTACACAGCATCCTCATATTCGCAGATTAAATTCATGCAAACTTTAATTAAAAATTATACAAAATGTAACACCTTGCAAAATAGCATTTAAGAGTTTTTAATACTTTTAAGGGCCTTCAATTTCTCTTCATTGATTTATCAACTTTTAATACTTTGTAAGACCCTGCGGACACCCTGGATTAGCAAAATAGAACCAGGGAGTATTCACAGTACATTTTTATTTAGTTTCCAAAAAACGAGAACCTAGCAGGAACTATAAATAATGTCAGTGGAACATTCAATGTTTGCTGGGTACTACAAAGTTCTGACCTTTAGTATTATTGATTAAAAGCTTATTTAAATAGAGACTGATTTAATAGATTAAAAGTTACACAAACAAATAATGAATAAATGAAAGAATGTTATCAATATTGTGCACTGCAACTACATGAAAACATACTCTGTTATAATAAATACTAGTGGTAATGGATCATAATATATTATAGTACTAGAATTAGACTGTAGTGATAATTTTATACTAACAACTATAATAATATAAACAAATTACCCAATGCTGTACTAAGCTTTCTACAACTATATAAATTGTACAATACACATATAGTTGTGCCATAAAAAACTAATTATACTAATTATTAGTATACTAAATTATATTAATGAACACTAGTATACTACTATATATTAGTTTATCGTTTGATAATACTGCTATGACATATTATTGACAAAGTAAAAATGTAAATGTAAATACTATAGTTTACTAGTATCAAAACAGTATAATGTTTACTGTAAATTACTATAGTATTTTTTCATGAAGAAACACGGTAACAACGATTTTGTAATGCATTATGAATACCATAGGGCACAAAAATGGCCATTTTAAGAGATCATTTCAAAGTATGCTATTAGTTGGCAGTTATTGCACAAAAGGCTTGCAATACAGCTGAAACAACATCTGCTATAATAGAAAACTCACGTAAATCTTGCTGAACTGCTCATCGTGGAAGGTTATTGGTTTATCTAAATTAACCTCCTGCGTTTCATCATTTCCTTCACGGAGAGACTGATCGCCTGCGTTTCTCCCGAATGGAAAAAGTTCATGTCGTGTTATTCCGCTGACAGACAACGTTAATCCAAATAAAATGACCCAAAATGGGTGTCTGTGCCCGTGCCGACCCATATCCAGTCCCAAACCGAGCCTGAAGCTGCCTGAGTCCGTGTCTGACTGACTGATGTCCGGTGAAGCAATCGCTCCTCCCTGACTGAGTGACCAATGTGGAGCTAACGTTACTCCAACCCTCACAGTAAAGTAAAAATATTAATTATTGTTGTACAGTGTCACTAATTACGCTACATTTATGTGAGTATACGCAGCTGTATGCCTTCTAGACTTTACGTTAGTCTGTGGAGGACTTCATTCAATCACTAGCGCAGTCAACGGTTATTATATTTATTGCAGTGGGGAGGAGAGGGGAAGGGGGGTTTGATGTGGGACATAACCTCTCAATACTCAAATCTCAGTTTCCTCCAATTTATATCGTAAATGCAAAATAATACGTGTAGAAACTATATTCAGTGACTGTTTAAATCTGCGCTGAGTCCATTGTCAGTGTCATTAAGGTACTACAGCCCCCCTTCATTAAACAAAATGGAAATGTCCAATTATGAGCGCGAAAATTAAGAGAAGCGCACGGCGGTTAATGTTAAATGCCTAAATGTTATAGTGAACATTTTATTCTGTTATTGTTGTTTACATATTGTTAAATGTTTAAAACCATAACAGAGTTAACACTTATACCAGCGGGTCACCAACATGGTGCCCGCGGGCACCAGGTAGCCCGCGAGAATCACATGTGTTGCCCGCAGGCCTGTTCTAAAAATAGCTCACCATAGCGCCACGCCGCCACTTACCAGTAAGCTTCATCTAATATAGAAGTAATCATTTAAAAATGTAAATATTTGCAGAGATATATAAAAAGAAAGTGTTGAACATTGATACATTAAATACAGGGTATTTCCTACCCTGTTAAATCATTGTTGATAACTTTTGGGAGAATCATTAACATGATCATTGTCTTCACATGGATGAATATCATTAAATAATACCAAAAACAAAAGTATAATTAAAAGTAAATTGAGCAAGTTTGTTATTTGAGAAGTGTTTATCAACTGGTAGCCCTCCACATTAAGGTTGGTGACCCCTGATTTATACTAACCTTAAACTTAAATCTACCACATCTCAGGGGCGCAACTACACATATACTGAGAGGTATGCGGGTTCAAGTTTTGTAACTTAAATAAAATAGTTTTGAACAAAAAAAGTTACCAAAAGGCCTGATGTATCAATATGACACATAATAAATTTATAAAAACATGTATATTGTATAAAATGGATCTTGATAGAAGGATTAAAAACATTTCAGTTCCAAAAAATGTGAATATTCGGACAATTTGTTCATGTGTCAACTTTAACAGGGTTAAGAATCATTATAATCAAGTATATAATATTTATATAGGTGAAATTTTAATCCAAATATTTTATCTGAAATATCGGTTTATGTGAAATAGGTCTGTACTTACATAAACATACATTTTGTGTGATCCCTCTTATTTAGGCAAAACAATTAAATAATTAATAATAAATAATAATAAATAAAGAAAAAAATTCAGATTAATCTTATAACTTTTGACCTCAACTGTACTGTATGTATGATTTGACAGTTTTATTTTGATAAAAATTGTAAAAAAAATCTAAAGTTACATTTACATGAACACTTTACACTTGGCTCTGCGACTGCATGTTATTGTGTTGATTTTGAATTAAAATGTGTGTGCCAACGTATGCAACTCTTGGTAGAATTTTTTATTTATTAAAATACAATATTATACTCATACAAAATGCAAAAAAAAACATTTTTAACAAAACATATTTATTTATTTATTTTTTTTATTTGAAACTTTTAGTAAGGATAATTTCAAAAATAGTTTTGGCACAATGGCGCCCCCCCATGTGTGGCGCCCCTATGCGCCGCATATACTGCATACCCCCTTTTTACGCCACTGCCACATCTACAACACTTTTAACTTGTGTCTACAACACAAGTTTATGTATTTTCATCATATTATTGCCTTTAAAAAGTAAATAAGAAATCCACTGAAATATCACAGTAACAAAGTTGACATTATTGATCTACTATTGGTGTATTCATAAACATTTTACACAAATGAATGAGAAGAATAATGACAACTCAATGCACAAGTTTCCCACCACAGAGAGTGATATCACTTGGAGCAGGTTACATGCGTTTTATACTAGTGCTTTGCAGATTATTCTGCCTTTCTATAGGTGCTGTATAACAGAGATGACCAGAACATAAATACAGAAATGTAGGTTTTATAACTGAAATGACAAATAATACAGCATAATAAGTAGATGTTTCATGCAACTCTTTACTTATCTTAGTAAAGTAAACACACACCCAAAAAAGATGAAAACAGACCTGTTTAATGATATCTGAAGCTGAATATTTGATTTAGGAGGCAGATAAAGTGAAAAATAGGTCTTTAAGTTTATATTATCCAGACAAAATGTCCCTAAATACACATACAAACACTATTACTTAGAAATAACTTGATATATTATACAAAACTGCTTTACTTTATGCTAGGTTTTTCTTGCAGATACAAAAAGTGTAGCCACAATTCTGGAATTCCGCATGTTTATGATCATCATCAGCGCTTGTGCTTTTGATGCTTTAATAATTGAGCATCATCTTGTTTTTGGCACAGATTCACTCCCTTTGAGACTGTACAATAATTGGAGGTAAAAGCCTGAGCTTAATGTACTGTGTGCAAATGGACAGTGACAGAAGCATAATGCAATCATCAATGCCAAACAATCTGTGATGTAAACTAACGAGTTGCATGGTTAAAATAATTTGGGGTTTGGGTTAGTTTCAAACCACAGTACATGATGGTATATTAAAATAGCTGTGCATGTAAACTTAAAGAACAGCGCCATCTGCTGCTTTCAGCTCATTTTCACAATTTCGACAGACTCGAGGAAGCTAAAATAAAGTATATTTGACTTTAAGGAAGTGTAATTAAAATGACATAGGCTTACTTAATTGTCTCTTCTTTTTATTAATAACATTGTCATCAAATATGAAAATTGTCCTTAAGTATTGCATGAAACAATCATCAATTTTAATGCTTGAAATGACACTTGAGATTTAATTGCAGTTAATTAAAATATATTTATCTATAATTAATTAGTGTGTGAGGTCATTTATTAAATTCTTCCTTCTCTAATTCCAGTTTAACGTTGTGTAAATGGCTCATTTAGTTAGAAGGTCGCACTCATGTTTTGAAAGGAAGCCCACTTTTAATGTAGTTTTTTTTTCAACATTAATTGATTTATGGATTAAAAACACCTTTCAAACAGCAGGTTTTAACATTATTGTTACAAATGTAAAGGTAAAAATGAAATCAAACATATAGGGCTCTATTTTGACGGTCCATGCGCAGAGCGCAAAACGCAGGGCGCAAACGCTTTCAGGGCGTGTCAGGGCGCGTTTTTGCTAATTTAAGGACGGGAAATCTGCCTTGCGCATGGTCTAAAAGGGTTGAGTTTATTTTCTTAATGAGTTATAGGTGTGTTTTGAGAATAAACCAATCAGAGTCTCATCTCCCATTCCCTATAAGAGCCAGGTGTGTCGCGCCATAAGCGCATTCGCTATTTACAGGACGCAAAGTAAGTCTAAGTGGAAAAAATGAGCATTTCACAAGCAAACAGTTCACAGAAAACAGTTAAACAGAGCATCTACTGCGTGACAATGAGAGATAATGGATCTACTTTCACTTTCGCTCTTGGATAGGGAAACCTTTATGCACAGACATTAATTAGTCTATAAATAATTAATTTCGTTTGTTAAGTGCAAATATTCTTTTTAAAACTATTTCTAAATTCAGTTCTAATTTCCAGCAAACGATTAAATGAACAATAATACCGAAGTGTGCTCAAAAACCTGAGTTATATCCTAAAACACATGCTGTGCCCCATATGGTCTAAAACCTGACAGGTGGACAAATCTAAGCTTGTTTTTAATAAAACAAATACAAATATGGATATAATAAATAATACTGCTAATAATAATAACATTATACAGAAGCAAATTGTTGAAAAAGCCTCCCGAGATGAAGAAGACATAAAAGCAGTGATTTTTCATATTTATGTAGGCTAGAAAATAATATGTTTTGTAATATTTTAATCCTTTATATTTATATTCTATATCTATTTTTATTATATCCTATATATATCCTTAATATTTACTTTTTTTCATATGTAAAGATATTTGCCTATTGCTCTCTTGTGTGTATTAAGCAGTGTGTAAGCGAGGCGCAACTCTGCGCCGGAGTTTAGACCGGGTTTGTTTTGGTCTAATGAAAAATCTATTATAGTTTCTCAAAATAGCAACGCGCCAGCAGTGCACATCAGAACGCCTCCCTTTTTAGACCAGAACGACTATGGGCGCACAAATGAGCACTAATGCATTTGCTATTTAAACAGCGTAGCGCAACGCCTCAAAACGACTCTTGCGCCAAGCTGAAACTACCAAAAGACTACTGCGCCGCGCCTTGCGCCACACTGCACCGGGTGTATGATAGGGCCCATAATGTCAAGGATGGCGAAAGGATAAAATATGTCTCATGTAAAAAGAAGAGATAAGCAAAAGAAGAAATACGTTTAAGTAATAGACGAATGATGGATGTGGTAATGGGGTGGGAAAATAATAAGCTTGTGCTTCATCCCGCTCCATTTTCGACCATGTTGACATGTATTGTTTGTTAATGATATTTTATGTATGATATTTCTGTTCGAAAATAAATAAATCTAATCAAACTGTCAGTCATTTGAATGCCTATAATATAATACGCAATATTTCACACCGAAATTCAACATGAATGAATTAAATTCTTAGTTAATTTATAAAAGAAATTTCTTTGAGATGAGATTATATTTGTAAAAAAATAATCATGAATACTTAAAAGTTTTTGTTTTGTAGTTTTCTTTATTATAGCATGTAAAATTTAGTTATCTTCCTTTGAGCTTATTTGCCAGACACTCGCATACATACATACATACATACAGCGAGGAAAATAAGTATTGAGCACGTCACCATTTTTCTCAGAAAACATATTTCTAAAGGTGTCGTTGACTTGAAATTTTCCCCGGATGTTGGTAACAACCAAATAAATCCATATATGCAAAGAAACTATATGCAAAACAAATCTAATTAGTTTAGAAATGAAGTTCTGTGTAATAAAATGAAATGACACTGGGAAAATATATTGAACACATGAAGAAAGGGAGTAGAAATGCAGTGAAAGCCCAGACAGCAGCTGAAATCTCTCAGTAG